ATCGTAAAAAAACTACTTATTAGTCATGATTTGCGACTTTTTTGTGGTTGTGATTTCTGTGTGGCTAAAAATTAAAGTGTTACAAGGTTTGAAAATATTAAAAAACTTATCTAAGCTTGTATTCTTGCTTCTGAGAGAGTCTGATGTTTTTATAAGGATAGTAGTGACGCGAAAACGCCTGCAAACCGAAAGTAAACAACCGTCAACTTAGCTGACGACACCTCTATAAAGAGCGAGCCTTGTGTATCCAGTGTATACTGGCGCCAGGATGCAACTATTCGAACTCTATGGATGAGCGTGTTGCCTACTCAAAAACTGAAGGCGCCTTGGCGCGCTCGGTGACGCGACGCAACGCGGCTAGGTTCTCCCGCTCCCACTGAAACTACCGTGCAGCTCTTGAGACGTTGAAAAATTCTTTCGGCAATTTCCGAATTCTCTCAAGAACTTATGATTTTATTACATGGCATCTTTTCAGAAAATGTTCGACAATCTGATCAGCATTTTAGATAATTTCAAAGAAAAATGTTCATAGCTTTCTCAAAACAATCGAATTTTCATACGGCATGCTGGAACAACTTTGCAACTCTTAACCTAGTCAGATCTTAGACAGAAATGAGGGTGAGAAGATGTGCTCTATACATAAAATATTATTTTTGTGTGTGTTTTATTTGGTTTAATTATTATACTCATTGAATATCGGTGAGAAGTATTGCTTGACACGACATTTTTTCGGTTTCAGGACATCTTGTAAACGATTTTTTATCCGCACACCTTTTTTATCCAGTAGTTTACGCCCACACGTAAAATAAGCAACAGTGACTTGGTCCAAGCGTTATATTTTAGTCAGTGTGTAAAATTATATTGACAATATGGAAATGAGAAATCGAGAGAGGAGGAGGTGTTGTTATGGTTGCTTATTTTCTAAATGAAATGTTATTACTTTCTCCTTTTGAATCATCTTTTTAAATTGTCATTGGTGAATATTTGGTTTTATTCCTATCCTTAAAATATTCAATGTACAATATACTTTATATATGGATGGATACTTTTTCTATTTTTTTAATTTTTCTTTACGAAATTATTACTTCATTTTGAAAACGTTCATATTTTTGAAACGTGACAAATATTTGTAAAACCTTTTCCATGCGACATTAATCTCAATGAGCCGCAGTTGTGCCGACAAATACTGCAAAAATTAATTAAAGAGGGGAAAAAAAACCAAGAAGCACGCGATCTTTAGTTTTAACCTATTTGTACATCGATCTTTTAGAGTCAAATACGTCAAATTTTGAGCGTTTGGTTGCGCGTACACCTCGCTGCAGCACAATAAAAGCACAAAATGTAAAAGAAAATATGAAAGTGCTTTGAAAATCATTAAATTTGACACGGAACCACCAATATTTAAAAAACACACATAATATTATTCTCCTTTGATAAATTGATACATATTTTTTCCCATCAATTTAAATGAGAATAATCAATGCAGAGTGTGCAAACATTTCAAAATCATGAGTTAAAAAACGCTGACTATGCGAGTATAAATATTAAAGCCTAACAGAGCGGAGCGGCGCGGCGCGGCGTGCTGCCATGCCAGCGCGAGAGGCGCACTGGCGCCTACAAACCTAAGTGGATACTGCACGCATTGCACAATGCTTGAAGTATCCACTTGGGTTTGTAGGCGCCAATGCGCGTTTCGCGCTGGCCGCCCGCCCGCCGTGCGGCGGCGCCTGAAGCAACTATTTCACAACAGAGGTGTTGCACAGTAATATACGAAATTGAACGTATTAAGAATGGCAGGCATCCTTTAAAAGTACAGATCTTTCCTCGCAAAATAAATCAACATACTTATGGTACACGGGAAAAATCTAAGAGCCTTTAGCTGAGGCAAATATAGAGGTTTATCTGGTTCAAGTGTAACAAGGTGGGAATTTCTTGAAAGATAATTAAGTCCTGTTACACCAAAGAGGTGTAGAGAGTTTTAGTGAAATTTGTCTCATGGAATTGACGCTCCCCCATTTTTACCAAAACTCTCAACTATATATTATTCTCCGTTGGACCAAACAGACAAAACAAAAAAACAAATAAAACCCTAATTCTTCTACTTTCATCCAAGAACCTCGAGTTAGGTTACATATCGACGGTGAAACTACCAAACCACGTATCTCGTTTGCGGTGTTTAAAAATCTACGCTCACATTTTATTTCTTTGAAGTAGACCAAATCAATATCATTCCTTGAAATTTTCACGGAATTTTCTCCGCACAAAGAGGAAAAATCACAGAAATTTTCAAGACTGTATGTTAAGTAGTTTTTCATTTAAAAAATAAAGTATGACAGGAAGTCTGCGACGTCGCAAACCGAGATACGTGGTTTGGTAGTTTCACCGTCGATATGGGCCAATTAACTTTGGGTCGCAACTGACACATGGACCAAAAATCCCGTGCCGAAAAAACGCGTGGACGCGTAAAATACTGGAAAAAACAGGTGCGCGGACAAAAAATCGTTGACCAAATGTCCTATAACCCATTTTTTTCTCAGCACGGTAGCGTAAGAATTTATGTTCCTGATGAAAAGTGACGGAGTGAACTTCCGAAATTAATTATTATTCCTTTTTCGTGGTTTATACTGGAAAAGGACTTTTGTTAATAGATGAAATATTTTCAGGTAAGCGATTTCCGTCGAGTTTGGTCGAAAAATCAGATCTTGATATTATTGTGGAAAACTCTCTCTAGTGTTCTGAAGAATAAGTTGTGTTGTGAGCGAGTTCATTTTTACGCCAAAGGAGGGTGTAAAGTTTTCTCATATTCTGGCATAATGCCCGAAACTTGACGAAGGTTGCAACATGGCACGTCAAAATTTTGACCTGTTTCTGGTCGAAACCACATTTATTGGCCTGCAAACCTCAAATCACCGAAAATCTTGATTTAGTTTGACATTTTCAGGCGTTTTCTCTTATTCTCAAATATTCGTAGAGCATTCCTTTAGGATTTGGTATTAATACTTCAATTTCAAGTTTTAGTGGATTAAGATCACATTTCCCTTGGACAATTTTACTTTCGGAACAATAGTTTTAGAAAAAATCGCTAAAATTAATGTACATGAAGGATTTAACCCTTTGTTGGGCCTCCCGAGTCCGCTTTGTGTTCACTAGGATCCCTGTACTTTCTAATTTAAAAATAACGATAAAATAATTGTAGCTGTGATTCAAATTCGTGAAGAGTTTCGGGCAGAAATAAGGCTTCATTTTCCCCCGTAAAAAGATATAATCAAGTAAGTGTCTAGCGGTCATAATGTGGCAATGCTGGCATCGCCTGACCAGCGGAACACGCAAAGGCGACTTCTATGCCTCTAAAATAATTCTTTCGTACGCTTTACGCCCTCTCGATTCCCATGGGTTATTGCTCCCCTAGTTTCGTATCGTCCATCGCTACTTGGGTGGAGAAATAATAAGCACTTTTAGTGTTTTCGCAATAGTGCGTAATTTTTTCAGCCACGCACGAGTTCATGGAGAACATTTTTTTGTGAACTTAAAAATATTCATGACAATTTTTTCCTCTCAGTTTTAAGAGGATCGGTTATTGTGAGATGGAAGATTAGGTCGTACGATAAGATGTTATCTAAGCATCGGAGGTTAGGCGATTTTTCCCAGTGTGTCGCTTTATATTCAAGGTTTTTGGTTGTGTGTTCCGATGGAGGGGCGAGTACCAGTCTGCAAGAAGCTATAAAGTGCCTTGAGTCAAATAAGAGGTATTACTTGAAGCACGTTCTAGCACTAGTGGTCCTTTCTTTAATTTTTGTTTCATATTTCGTCGTTTTATTTGTATTCTTCAAAATGAGGTAGTCTTCCGCTCTGGAGGAAGGTAATAGTAGGTACAGGAAGTTGCTATCCCCCAAACTTTCCATGCCTCTCTCGTATTTCTTCGTATTTAGGAGGTTTTACACTCTATGCAACATTCCACGCCCTTCCAGCCAAAGGATCACAAACATTATTCTTACTGGAATTGAGGTAGTGATTGTTTCAAGTTCCGGAGATAATTTAACATCTAAAAGCATAGTTTTTTTATTATTATTATTAATATCATTAATTACTTTGAAAACTTCAAAATAAGGAAAGAGGATCTCACGAGCGCCAAATGTCCATACACTGAAAAAAAAATGTCGGTGTATTTACTAAGAAAAGGGTAAAATTACCAAGAATTCGGGTTCTATTTGATCCCAATTTTTTCTTGGTAAAATTACCATTTATGGAATTGGTAATTTCCCCGAGAAATCTCGGTAAAATTATTGAACTTTCTCGGTAATTTTACTAGAACTTGGTAAAACCGCCAATATTTTTTATCGACTAGGGTAGAATTACCGAGATAAAATGGCAAAGTTACCGGAAATTGATTACCAATAAAAGTGGTATTCTTACCTGGAAAAACAGTAAAAATACCGGTTTTTAGGTAAGTTTACCAGTCTGTCTTGGTAAAAAAAGTGAGATGGTAAAGGTACCAACGGACCTTGGTAAAAACGCCGAGAATTTTTTTTTCCAGTAAAGTGGTTCTCACGAGCGCCAAATGTCCATAGAAAAGTACCACAAGCCGCGCAAGTTTGGCTCTGATGAGAATCATTTTGACTTTTTTCACCATTTTTTCGATATGTTTATGTAACCTAGAAAATTGAGCAGCAATTTCAAATGTCACACGAGCCGAGAAACAAGCATATCCGCCACTGTTCTCACAGAATCATGGTCAGAACACAGTAACACAAGTGCCATCACCTGACCCTCTTAAAAAGTATTTTATCCATTAACTTTTATGAAGTTATTTTTAGTATTAGGGAACATATGCCACGCCGATGTGCCAGAATTCAAGCCAAAACAACACGCGTTTAGCGTTCGCATTTATCTTTCATATGACTCTTTTAATGTTGACATTTCGGCACTTGTGAAAATATTCCAGGAAGGCCACGGTTTTTGATAGTGCTGTTCACCTATTTAGCATGGAAGATCATACTTACTGTATTTGAGGAAGGAAAAACGGCAATCTCTCGATGAAAATCTGCTCTTGGGCTCCATAGACAGATTCTTTCCCCATGATGAAATCGGCAACCAGCACGAGAAACACCGATAGTCGACTCTAAATTGATACTGCGACTTCTCCAACACGATGCTAAAGTTCTGAGATCCACTTCATTTTCACTTCGGGATACGTCTCAACACACGGAGTCGGCACGCTTCAGGCTCCGAATTAAAAGCAATTGCTGCACACAAATAAAGCTTGTCACCTACCACAAGTAGATGTACAGGATGTTTCAGTCAGGCTAATATCAGATGAAACCGAAGAACAATTTTTAATCGGTGAACTAGCTCTGAAAGAAGGCTTGATCCTTGATAGAATATTTTCGCGGTTCCGGGTGTAAAAATGGTAGGTACATAACACGCATTCACCTCTAAAACCAGTCCTTTAACCAAGAATGTCTCGCAACTTACGGGAATGGAGAAAGTCTCAATACAATTTTTAAGAAAGAAAAGTATGTCAATTAAAATGAGCTAAGGTCAAAAATTAAAAAAACGAGTTTGCGTTTAAACATTTTTCGAAAACGGAGAGCGCTGAATTTTTACGGCGCAATAGCATCGACTAAAAATATTGAGAAAATTTGCAAATTTTTTGTTTGATTCAACATCTTAACTGTAGTTAGGTTACCACTGAGAGCAGGTTAAAACGCACTTGTCAAGAATCAAGTTGGTTGGAAAACTTTTAAAAACCTTTTTTTGCGAGCCTGAGTAGACAGATTCACTAAAATGAAGAGGAGTTCAAAAAAGGATTTTAAACATATATCGGTCCAAGTTGAGTGTCGATGTTTGTCTCCTCAACAAGTAAGTAAAAAATCGTAACAGCAAGTGTCAGGCGATTGCAAAAGAAATTTTAAAGACATTTTAAAGTTGAATATGCCGAATACGAGTACCTACGTGTACCAGAAAATAAAATGAAAATTTGAGAGGTAAAATCTAGTACCACCGAATTGAACACCTGAGGCACCACGATCGAAAAGCCCGAAGAATACAATTTTGACGCGGAAAATGAGGAAGCGTGCGAAATATGTATACTTTTCTCTGAAATTAATTAGGTGCGTTTTTAAGCGAAGCGCGGGAAAGCGAGGTAGATGGAATCGCGCAACGTGGAGGAGAAGTTGTCCAATAGAAGATTTGAGTGGGTCGTCGCAGCATGGCTCCTCGGGGGTCGAGCGCGCAGGTCAACTGCCCTCCATAAACTTCCGGTTGGCCGCCTCACTTCCGGTCAGCCCCTCCGTGGACCCCATTAATTATGAAATAAAGCCACTTGATTCCCTAATAAGGCGTCTTGAACCATGCGAATTCCATGTTTCGATGGTGAAAGTGCAGAAGTGCGTATCTCGGAAAACACGATTTTCCAGGAGTTTAAAAACACTTTCCAATCCTCCTCACTGTTAGTAGAAGAAAAAGAGAGAAGAAGAGAGAAAAAGAGATAGAAGAATATATACAATAACCATTAGTGAGAGAGAACAAGAGATAGAAGAATATATTATAGGGTGCCTAATAAACGGGTTATTATTATATAATAATTTATTTAATTTAGAGCGTACTTCTGTGATTATTTGATTCTATTTATATTTTATTAAAATTTTAAGTTAAGTCAAACTTATAATTTTCCAAATTATTATTAAATTTACGAGATTCGTATTTCAGCACTCAGGCCCGAGATACGTGCGAAAAAAGTTCTACGGTTTTAGGTGACTTCCCGCTTTTTTTCGATTACAATCTTTTGCTGGCAGATAGACAACATCTGCAACAACACGTTATTGCAGCTAACTCAAAACTGTCAAAAATCGAGTTACGCACTTCTCCACTTTCACTATCGATTTGCTTTCGTTCGCTTTTTTGACGCTCCTGGTTCCTGAAATGCCGTCGCTAACCCATCAGCGACTGATAAAAAAAAGTTTGACGAAGTTTTTAAATAAATAAACACTCATTTGGACTGCGTTAAGCAGAGAGGAACCAAGCTACTACTCTACTACTCTACTCCTACTACTTTCATTCAGCTATTTTATTCTTAATTCAAAATAAAACTTCTTACGGCATACTCAAGAATGTTTCTGCCTATATCGTGTCAATTTTTTCTCTAATGAAATTCAAAAATTATGCTAAACTTATTAAATACGGGTGCTAGGATTTAGTGAGTTTTTGGGCTACCGCTCTCTTTTAGTGCCGTGGTATCTTGATTTATTTTGTGAGGAAAACTCCGCTCTCTTAAAGGATACCTGTCATTTTTGATAAGATGGAGAGCTTTCAATTCCGTATGATACTGTGAAACACCTCTGTTGCGAGCTAGTTGCTTGAAGCACCGCGCCGCGCCGCAGCGCGGCGGGCGAAGGTGACTAGCGCGGCACGCGCACCGGCGCCTACAAACCTAACAGGGATACTTCACGCATTGCGCAATGCGTGAAGTATCCCTGTTAGGTTTGTAGACGCTAGTGCGCGTGTCGCGCTAGCAGCACGCCGCGCCGCCGCGCGCTGCTCCGATCGGTGTGTTTGGCTCTAATATTGAAACTCGCGGAGCCAGCATTTTTCAACTAATAATTTTGAAATGTTTGCACACTCTGCGTGGATTATTCTCATTTAAATTGATGGGGAAAACAAATTTGTTAAATGAAAATATAATGTGTGTTTTGTGAATATTGAGGTGGCTCCGTGTCAAAATTCCCGTCAACGCTTGAACCAAGTCACTATTTAAAAAATAAAGTATGACAGGAAGTCTGCGACACGACGTCGCAAGCCGAGATACGTGGTCGCGGACTTACACCGTCGATTTGCTTGAAACATTTAAGACGGACTGAGATTCTAAAATTACTATGTAATTTATTGATGTGTTTTCAGAATTTAGCCTTCAGTTGTTAACAACTGTGAGTACATGTAAATTGTAAGTGCACATGATAAATTTGATGTATCAACGAGAGCCGAACTCTTCTATCCACCTCTCATATTGGCTGTTCTCGTGGCTGGACACACTTTTCGAGACGTTCCTGACGGCTTGCTCAAAGTCCTCCGCGGAGATCGGCTTGTCGATCTCCTCCAGGTCGATCTCTCTCATCTCGGTTAGGCTTTGCGCCTGCGCCATTCTCCTCCTCATTGCCATGAATGAGGCGTCGCTGCCAATAAAATAATTTATCGTTAAAAGTTCACAAATTTGTTGTAAAACTTTACTAATTTATCAATAAAAGTTGACTCCTCTAAAACTCCCAAACCCAAAGCAGCACAGGTTGCAAGAAAGTGGGACTTTTTTTTTTGGTGTGTCGTACTGGGTGGTTTTAAAATTTCCAAGGAAACACCCAGATCTGTAGAAACATTTTACTTAACAACAAATCTGTACAAGATAAATTTGGAAGAAATTTGGAAGAGAATAGAGCAACTAGAAAAGTTTCTAGGCACCAGAAACTAGAAGTCTAGAAACTAGAAAAGGCACTTTTCCTGTGTTGGTTTGCTGATCTGCCACGAAACAAACGAGCACTAGGTAGTGCCGGTTTGGCTCTATTCAGGATGGGCCAAAAGAGGCGCCGACTGGCTAAAACTAATCCACCTCTTAATTCGAATTAATAAAGTGGAATTAAATAACAACATTTTTGCTGCTGGATTGGAATGTTGCGTGTGTTGCCTGTCTACGAATTGAATGGGCTCTTCTTATTGTACTTAATTGCAATAAAATTGAGATGAAATGCAACTTTTCTTTGCCGTATAAATTGCCAATCTTTCTGATACATTAAACTTATTTCATTGATCGATTAAAAGCGCTTTCACTGACCAAAATATGCGTATCGATACCAGGATACATACCGACAAACAACGGTTATATCAGCGGCTGAGTATCCTGCCATTGCAGATGCTAGCTCCGGAATTTGGACAGTCGGATCCACTTTCAATTCCCTCAAATTCAAATGTAACAACGCCTCCCTGGCTCTTGCTGGAATACAAATGCGGTTATTTTTATTATGCTATGTCAACCAAAGAAGGAAGAGAGTGGATCGTTCGAAGCTTTACAAGGGCGGGGAGGGAGGGAGGGGGGTAACTATTTCCCTAAAAAAATTTCAAATTCGCACCTAAAAAGTGCTGAGATAAAAATGCACGAATCCGAACAGGTTTCATGGTGAAAGCAAATATCGACGGTGAAACTACCAAACCACGTATCTCGGTTTGCGACGTTGCAGACTTCCTGTCATACTTTATTTTTTAAATAGAAAACTACCCAATGTCAATTCGTGAAAACTTCCGCGATTTTTCCTCTTTGTGCGGAGAAAAATCTGTGAAAATTGTAAGGAATGATATTGATTTGATCTCCTTCAAAAAAATAAAATGTGAGTGGAGATTTTTAAACACCGCAAACGAGATACGTGGTCTGGTGGTTTCACCGTCGATATGGGTTCAAATGTGCTATCCTTCTTTTTTTAACAACTGAAAAGTGCATGCATAACATGTGAAGTATACGAATACATGCACATTAAAGTTTCAAATCTGATTCATTTAAAATTCACCCCGTTCCTTCTAAACTCGAGTTGAAAAAAAAAAAAAAAAATTCACTCGCTAAAGGCAAACTGACAGTCTTTCCGCCAATTTCCGAAATTTTTTTTTTAAAAAAAGGATTCCTCCATATCTTGTTTGTCTTCTTTGTCTAAAGCTTTGTCTATCAATTTCAATAATCGGCCCGCGGGTAGATCTATCTTAATCTTATCTGACCTTATCCGACCTAGCTCACCATCGGGAAGAGGGACGTAGATCCGCTTCTCAAGTCGCCTACGAAGGGCCTCGTCGATGTCCCACGGGTGGTTGCTGGCGGCGATGACAACTAGTTGCTTGCGGGCGGAGTCCTTGGGGGCGCTGCTGGTGCCGCTCGGTCCCGGGGTCGCAGGGTTGCTGCTGGGCCCTGCCTGGGGCTGGGCCGGGCTCTCCAAGGGACGGATGCCGGCGGTGTCGGCCAGGGACAAGTCCTGTTGCCCGTCCAAGTCCGAGCAGAGACCGTCCATCTGGACGAGGAGCTCGGCTTTGAGCCGCCGCGAGGCTTCGTTCTCGACCACGTTGTCCCGCTTCGAGCAGATCGAGCAGATCTCGTCGATGAAGATCGTCGATGGCGCGTAAGTTCGCGCCTGGGGGGCAACACAATTTTATCAACATGATAGTGATAAGAAAAGATGATGAATTTTAAAGACCATACGGGCCGCCGGTTTTTGAAATTGATAGACAAAGCTATAGACAATGAAGACAAAAAGGATATGAAGGGACCCTGGTGGAAGCGGATGGTTGTAATGGACAATGGAGGTAGGTAATGAACTAACTAACGGCAACCGACAAGAGACCCGACAGTTAGTCTATCATTTTCCCACTTAGTTTATGACAACCACCTGTTTCAACCAATAGGATCCAGTGACGTGGCGTGAATTGCCACGTATCGATTGTTATGCCATTTAAACCAAATGGTAAAGAATCGATTATTAATGTGTTCGCTACAAACACCCTGTTTATCGAACCTTTTTCATAGGATTAAATGGCATAACAATCGATACATCGCAAAGTACGCCACGCCACTGATAGGATCGCGCCATACTCTCTATGTCCTCTTTGTCTATAGTTTTGTCTATAAATTTCAGTAATCAGTCCACTGCACTGAAAAAAAAATTTCGGCGGTGGAGGCCGTATACTTGCTGGTTATAAAGACATACCGTCCGCGTTCCTGGCTCAGAGGCCGAAAGTTCCGGGTGTAACAGTTGTAACACCCGGAGCAGTTGAAGCTACGGCTCCAGCACCCGGAACTTTTGGCCTCTGAGACGGGAACCCGGGACGGACGGTATGTCTATAGCCTGTAACTTTTTTTCAGTGTGCACTGCTACTTAAAGTACCTTAAATAGAGAGTACGGCCACTGGGCCTCATGGAGACTCCTAGGAGGAAAAAAATTGAGGCGACACTAGGTGGAAGTGGGTAGAGTAACTTAGGTAATAGAGAGGTATCGCCATGTGGCTATCGTTTTTGATTGGCTCCACCATATTGAACTTCATGAAGCTCTCCTCTTAGGCCTCACGAATAGCGGACGCTTTTAGTAAATGTAAATACAAAATGACTTAAAATTTAGTTTTTTTTTGCATATAGTACGATAATCTCTTAATCTCGATGTCGTTGGCGCAGCGTTAAAGAACTTCTTACATTGAAAGATGACTTAGAAGTAAACGAACCAGTTTGAAGAGAACTCTGACGAGTTTTTCGGAATCGCCGAAGTATTTAGCGAGGAGAGAGGCTGCGGTTACGTTGAAAAACGTGGTCTTGCTCTCGGTGGCCACGGCTTTGGCCAGCATGGTTTTCCCGGTCCCGGGTGGGCCCACCATCAACACTCCTTTCCACGGTCGACGAATCCCCTGTCAAAAGCAATCATAAAACTCGCCTTGATATCATCATTCGAAAGCTATACTAGTCCCAAATGCCGCTATCATTTTGGCATCCCACTTCAAAATGAACTGATTTTTTTAACTCGGCAAAACTTTTCCCTCTAATCTCAAAACTCGTAGTCTGCCTATCCGCACTGGAAAAAAAACACATTGGATCTAGAGTCCAGACTCTTAAACACATCGACAAGAAAAAATACTCTTGATTCAATCAGAATCTAGCTTAAATCAAGAACCAAGCTTCTGAATTTAAGCGGATTTCGTTTTGATTCAAGCAAAAATCCGATTGAATCAAGAGTATTTTTCTTGCCAATGTTTTCAAGAGTCAGGACTCTAGATCGGACTCTAGCTACGGCGTTCTACCGTATGCAGTACTGCCATGCTAAGGAAGAACGCCGTATGGGCCGCCAGTCGCTGCCATATCTCTCGCAATGGAAAACGAATTTACTGGGTAAATTGGGGATATTTTTCTTCGAATTTTTTAGACAATTTTACTTGTAATTTAAACTAAAATATCTGAAAATTTTAAAGAAAAAGATAGAGCACTTTTTTCAAAAATACATGTTTTAACCCGTAAAATTTGGCAACTCTCGAATGTTTATATGGCGTTTTTTCTTACCACGGCGGAGTAGGGCTCTGAAGGCCCTATTCACTCGACGCCATAACTCCCGCGTGCTAATAGAGAGTGTTCCCTCTATTAAGTCTCAGTGCATCTTATATTTTTCAAACAAATCGACAGTGTAAGTCCGCAACCGCACGTACCAGAGGCGGATCCAGCAATTTGGCAACACCGGATTTCCTTCATTTAATCCTATGCTAAAAATTCGATTCTTGTCGGAGCATATGGCCCCTCCAAGAATCGATACATTTCCATACGTTTAAATGGAGAAAAAACAATGTTGCCAATTTGCTGCATGCATCCGCCAATGTCGCAGACTTCCTGTCATATTTTATTTTTTAAACGGCAAATTATTCAACGGCAATTCTTTAAAACTGCCGTGATTTTTCTTGTCTGTACGACAAAAATTCTGCAAAAACTTCAAGGAATGATGTCAATTTGCTCTCCTTTAAAAAATAATACAGAGGCAGAGATTTTCAGACACCGCAAACGAGAAATGTGATTGCGAACTTACGCCGTCGATGTACAGTTCATAGGAAATCTAAATCGTCGCGAGCATAGACACGTGGTTTCGTGGTTCCGCCGTCGATATTTAGCTTTTAAGCACTTAGTGCTTAGTCCACGCCTAATGATTTTAATTCGTCCTATTTGACTTTTAAATCTACCTCGAACTATTTTCTCCGAATATCGCGTTTCCCACAGCGGCGTGGCGTGAATTGCGATAAATCGATTGTCATGCCATATAAACCTGTGGAAAAGGATCGATAAACAGGGTGTTCGCAGCGAACATCTTAATAATCGATTCTTTACCATAGGTTTAAATGGCATAACAATCGATACATCGCAATTCACGCCACGCCACTGGTTTTCCCAGGAAGCGTGTCCTCATTCTTTCCCATGCGCCTTCCCGCGCCTCTTCGCTGTGTTCTTCGAGCTCTCTTATCGCCGTCCATCTACTCACTTTTTTCCGTTTTTTTCCTCTCTTTATTTTATTCGATGGCGCCCCCATCTAACCCAGCCCACCCCGCTCAACCCCACCCTATCCCACCTCAACCCCACCACCGTTCTCCGTTCAGTCCTATTTTTCACCTAGATTCGTATCATTCTCCAAAAGTTAAGGGTCTCATTTCCAAACTTAGCTATTCTCTACGAAAAAATACCCTCCCAAGTACCCAAGTAGCTGTGATCGCGATAAATAGCGATTTTATCGGTGGGTTATCGCGATTAAATCGGTGGTAATGTATCGAGCTATTTTCACATTAAAAATTGCGATATACGGCGATCAAATCGCTACACATCGCAATTTTCGGTTCGATAAAATCATGATCAATTTTTGTCGATAAAATCGAGATTCAATCGCCATTTATTGCGATTTTTATCTCGAAAATACCGCGATAAACTGTCGGACGATAGGAGCGCGATTTTCCGATAAAATCGCCAGGATCATCAACTTCTGAGCGATTATCCTCGATCTTATCGATAAAATCGCGTTTATATCGCCCGACGATTTATCGCGATATTTTCGAAATGAAAATCGTGATAAATGGCGATTTAATCACGATTTTATCGAACCAAAAATTGCCATTTGAAGCGATTTATTCGCTATACATCGCAATTTTTAATGCAATACTATCTCGATGTATTGCCACCGATATAACCGCGATAACCAACCGATAAAATCGCTATTTATCGCGATAACTGCTACCTACTTGGGTTATTTCGGGTTGTAACAGTGGCTGCACAGTGAAAATATAAAATTCGATCGAGTGAACCGAATTTCGGTGCTTCAAATCGATCGAAATTTTCGGTTCATCAAACCGAATTAACAGGTGTGTTCCTTTATAGATAAAATTAATTAATGAATTTATTTGGTTGAATACTGTTCCTTTTTCCGTCACTGCTACCTACTTGGGTTCTTTCAGATTGCAACAATGGCTGCACAGTGAAAAAATAAAATTCGATCGAGTGAACCGAAATTCGGTGCTTCAAATCGATCGAAATTTTCGGTTCATCGAACCGAGCGTGCAGCCCATCTTCAGTATACACGATAACTGAGGGGATATCTGTATACCTTGAAGAAGTCAGGCCTGAGGGTTGGTAAAATGATCGCCTCTTGCAAAGTCCTTTTGGCATCGTCCAAAGCTGCTATGTCCTTCCAGTGAACGTTGGGATTTACTTGAATGATATCTCTGGCTTGAACAAAATCAAAGAGATGAAGATAAAACTACGGATGAATGACCCTAATGACACTTTGATGGTGTTATGTGTCAATTCAGGACATTCTTTCGGAGGGCACAATTTATTTATATGAAGGGAAAATATTTTTTTTATAATTCTAAATAAAGACTCTGGAGTGGAATCATTTTTCTTACTTGTCGCTCCTTTGATGTAAGGGCGTACCTCTAAATCTATCAGTGGCGTGGCGTGAATTGCGATGTATCGATTGTTCTGCCATTTAAACCTATGGTAAAGAATCGATTATTTAGGTGGTCGCTGCGAACACCCTGTTTTTTGATTCTTTTTCATAGGTTTAAATGGCATAAGAATCGATATATCGCAAAACACGCCACGCCACTGAATACGTAAGCTCTGGGAGTCATACGGAGTCGGAGTGTTAACGTGGAAATTGAAATACCTACGCTCTTACGTCAGAAGAGGGACTTTGAGCAGTGGCGTGGCGTGCTTTGCGATATAGCGATTGATCTGTCATTTAAACCTATGGAAAAGGATCTATGTATGTGTCAAATTCACTACTACGATCTAATTTTCTGGCATAAAAAATATTTGAAACTCTCTTACTGCCACAAAACTCTATATAATTTTGGAACTTCAAACATGTGTTTCTTGAGATAGCAAAAGCTGCACTTAAGTATGCGCCTTTTCTTCCGATTCCCCCATTATTAGTTCTATATTTGAAAATTTTCAAAAAATTTCACCGGATAAATTCCCCCTGAACCCCAAAATGTAAGTTTGGCCCATTTCTTTATCTGCATTCGGAAGTGGCCTAGGCGGATAAAGAATGGTCGCATTTCGATTTTGACTGCCATCTTGAAGCGTTGTGACGTCAGGAGGGCACGGGTTTCGCCGTGCAATTCGAGGCTGAGCCGGCCTATGTAAGTATCCGATACCGCGTGACGTCCAGAGGATACAAAATGCGACCACCATTCTTTATCCGCCTTAGGATGCGGCAGTGATGATATGGACCGCGTTTAACACAAAGGAACCAAGCCTCGTAAGCTAAATATTGCAAAATTTAACTGGGCAAGTTAATTTTTTACGGGAGAACGTTTGTGCGGATCCCTTTGAAAATTTTAAGGAATTTTCGTCGTGCTATGAGGAAAATTCACTGAAATTCGCAGAAAAATCCGCCCAACCGTTTTCATGTAAAAAATTAATTCGTCCAATTAAATTTGGCAATCGCTGATGTGGCTTGGTTCCTTTCTATTTGACGCGGTCCATATTATCCCACATCTCATCAAATTTGGTCATGTACCCTCTTGATCCTGTACACTCCAACAATGAAATGGGACATACCTAGAGATTTGATCATTTGCGCCTCCTCTAGACTGTTGTTGCCGAGGAAGAACAACGGGGAGAAGAACGGCCGGGTCGTGGGTGGTGGTGTGATCTTCTTCACTTTGTCTTTGGCCTTCTCCTTCCCTTTATTCTTGTCCTTCTTCTTGATTTTGCCCTTGGCGTTCTTCTTGGTAGATGAACCTCCAGAAAGGTGGGCGCTCTTCGTGGACTTCGAGCCGGCGGCCTTACCCGGCTGAGTGCTCCCTTTTTTGGTACCACCGGTACCACCCCCTCGGCCTGTACCTCCACCGGTACTACCTCCTCGACCTGTGCCTCCGCCGGTACCACCAGCTAGGAGATGCCCGAATGTCGTTGTCCCGGCTGATAGATCCATCTTCGGTCGAGACATTTACGAGGTTCACTTCGGCGATCTTCTCGCCTCCTCACTACACTTCAGAACCGTACACATTAGCGCCGTTTTCTAGAAAATAAGAGAACACATTTCAATGACTTGCTTCGAAAACTACCTAACCCTTGAGTGCCCGAGGCTTTTGGTACGCGAAGTCCAACGTTGGGTCAAATTATTAAAATTCTTATTTATAAATACGTTAATTTTGATAGTTTTAAAGTATTAACTATGTTTCAAGATATATATTTATATATCAAAGGCGTAAGTCCGCAATCGCATGTCGACGGTGTAAGTCGGCAATCACATAACTCGATTTGCGACGTCGCAGACTTCCTGTCATACTTTATTTTTTAAACGGAAAACTACTCAACGGCAATTCTTTGAAACTGCCGTGATTTTTCTTCTGTGTGCGAAGAAAATTCTGCAATAACTTCAAGGAACGATATATCGACGGTGAAACTACCAAACCACGTATCTCGTTTGCGGTGTTTAAAAATCTACGCTCACATTTTATTTTTTTGAAGTAGACCAAATCAATATCATTCCTTGAAATTAATTTTCAAGACTGGATGTTAAGTAGTTTTTCATTTAAAAAATAAAGTATGACAGGAAGTCTGCGACGTCGCAAACCGAGATACGTGGTTTGGTAGTTTCACCGTCGATATGTCAATTAGTTCTCCTTTAAAATATAAAAGGCGGCATAAAGGCTTTAAAATATAAAATATAAAAACCTTTTACTTATATATGGTTAATCCCGCGGCGTTAAGCGTGTATTAGCGCCTGCAGGACTGAAGGAATACTTCACGCATTGCGCCAAACAGTGCAGTCGGCGTCAGGCCCATATTAGTGCCTACAAGACTGCATGAATACTTCTCGCATTGCGCCAAACGCAGCGCAGTCGCCAGTCGGTCATTTTGCGTGAAACGCATATTGACGCCTACAAAAAACAAGACTTACCTAAGGAATGCTGTAGGACTGTGTGTCACCATTATTAACTATCTGCTCCGGTTGTTAACATAATTAAAGGGAAAACACGTATCCTCGTTGTAACGATTCAGAAACTTTGATACCTAGTATTCAATTTTTATTTTTTTTTGGTATATTAAAAAAAAATAGAACGAACGAAAACATCGCGTCTAAATTTTCAATACATTTATTTGAGATCATTTAAATGGGTAAATTCGCGGAAACTTTGCAGATAAACTAGGTGTAGATTTTAAAAAATAAAACATAAAACTTGTGCATAGCATTGCAATCAGAGAAAAGTATACGCTTCCTTTCGGCTGCATCCGTCGGATTTTAAATCCATTCATCTTCTCAAAAAACTTGAACATGGTTGTTCTACGATTTTTTACGTGCAGTTTTTTTCAGTGGTTGGCGGCCGCGTAACGGCCACAGCGCGATGTAGTTATCTATCATAAACTACCAAGGTTGCCAGATTGACGCTTCCTAGTTAATATTGAATATTCGCGCAGACATGTGAGTTTTCAGTGAAAGAATTTCGCGCAATCCTATATCGACGGTGAAAGTCGGCAATCACATAACTCGGTTTGCGACGTCGCAGACTTCCTGTCATACTTTATTTTTTAAATGGAAAACTACTCAACGGCAATTCTTTAAAACTGTCATGATTTTTCTTCTCAATGCGAAGAAAATTCTGCAAAAACTTCAAGAAATAATATCAATTTGTTCTCCTTTAAAAAAATGACGTAGAAGCGGAGATTTTCAGACACCGCAAACGAGTTATGTGATTGCCGACTTTCACCGTCGATATGCATCTCCAAAAAGGTAAAACAGCAGGGGGCATTCGCGCAATCCTATCGCAGCCCTCATTGGTAGCATAGAGCAGAGTATTGCGAGTTCACGCCTCGCGCCATCGCGCCTTCAATTTTGCAGATGCAGCACGGACATCCATCAAGCACGAATAGTCGTATCTCTGCGCCGACGCGACGTCAACGCGCATCCTTATTTCCCTTGCTCTATTTCCATATTGTGTTGCACGGTGCGTTTTAAACAATTTTAATGCGGTCAACATACCACCCGCGATTTTTTTGCGGAAATGTCAACTAGAAGGCCTACTGATTGAGGAACAACAAACCGCGAAATCTGTGATGGGGCCGTTTTTGAGAAAATGCGATTTTTCGCTTTTTTGGCGGGAATTTCGGGTCAAGGCGCTGAAAAAGTCAAGTTAGGCTGTTTTTGTAGTTCGTAAATGCATATCCTATACATTTTGAGTCAATCAAGTGCCAGTAGATAGCTATTCGTGCATATTGCCCAAAATTCATATCCTTAAATCCACGACTTTTGGGTTTTTGGGGGGTTAGTCAAGGAGAAATCCGAAAAAAAGAGGGTTAACCCGGAACAAATTGCTTAACAAACTTTTCCTACGTAAACTTCTTCAGTAGGTCCTATTGAACAACATACCAAAAGTTTACCACGGTTCGCTCCCGGAACACCCCCCCAAATTGCCTAAATTTCAAAATGGCGGCCATAATAAGGCCTCTGGGAGTTCGATTTTTTTAAAAATACGCATACAGTGTCATGTGAGGTGTCAATTCCTATGTAATTTTGGTCGTAGATTTCAAATATGAAGTAAAAAAAGTCCCTTGATCAAAAGGGGGTACCCCAAATCCAAGATGGCAGCCAATTTTGAAAGTCAAGAGGGTGGATTTTTAAAAAGTTCGCGTGATAAGGCAAGTGAGGTATCATTTCTTATGTAATTTTGGTCGTAGATTTCATTTATGAAGTCATAAAAGCCCTCAAGTCAAAGGGATTGCTCCAAATGCAAAGATGGCGGCCAGCTTTGAAAGGCAGGAGGGTGAATTTTTGAAATGTTTACGTGACATCCCTAGTAAAATAGAATCAACCTGACGTTTCATAAACTACCCTGAGTCAGACTAATTCAGGCTGATATCAATCTGACTCAGGGTAGTTTATGAAACATACCCTGACGTCAGGTTGATTCTATTTTACTAGGGATGTCACGTAAACATTTCAAAAATTCACCCTCCTGCCTTTCAAAGCTGGCCGCCATCTTTGCATTTGGAGCAATCCCTTTGACTTGAGGGCTTTTATGACTTCATAAATGAAATCTACGACCAAAATTACATAAGAAATGATACCTCACTTGCCTTATCACGCGAACTTTTTAAAAATCCACCCTCTTGACTTTCAAAATTGGCTGCCATCTTGGATTTGGGGTACCCCCTTTTGATCAAGGGACTTTTTTTACTTCATATTTGAAATCTACGACCAAAATTACATAGGAATTGACACCTCACATGACACTGTATGCGTATTTTTAAAAAAATCGAACTCCCAGAGGCCTTATTATGGCCGCCATTTTGAAATTTAGGCAATTTGGGGGGGTGTTCCGGGAGCGAACCGTGGTAAACTTTTGGTATGTTGTTCAATAGGACCTACTGAAGAAGTTTACGTAGGAAAAGTTTGTTAAGCAATTTGTTCCGGGTTAACCCTCTTTTTTTCGGATTTCTCCTTGACTAACCCCCCAAAAACCCAAAAGTCGTGGATTTAAGGATATGAATTTTGGGCAATATGCACGAATAGCTATCTACTGGCAGTTGATTGACTCAAAATGTATAGGATATGCATTTTACGAACTACAAAAACAGCCTAACTTGACTTTTTCAGCGCCTTGACCCGAAATTCCCGCCAAAAAAGCGAAAAATCGCATTTTCTCAAAAACGGCCCCATCACAGATTTCGCGGTTTGTTGTTCTTCAATCAGTAGGCCTTCTAGTTGACATTTCCGCAAAAAAATCGCGGGTGGTATGTTGACCGCATTAAAATTGTTTAAAACGCACCGTGGTTGGTTTCGTTTGTCTCATTTGTAGTGCTGCTTCAAGGGCTACGTGAACAACACAGCCGGAGATAAGAAAGGAGGAATTCGGCCTCGTCTTTTGACTTTTCTCCCCTCTCTCACTAGCAGCATAAAATGGAGCATTGCGAGTTCATGCCTCATGACTTAGCCATCACGTCTTAAATTTTTCTTCTGCATTATATAGAATAGTTGCATCGCGTTCAGATGTCTCTCATTTTTGAAATTTGAAAAGAGGTTAAGCTTGCTCAAAATGATAGGTATGCTCCAAATTAATGGTCATTTTGAAAAATTTCTACCGCGAAACTTAAATTTTCTGGCATTGAAGTAGACTCCGACGCAGTGTTCTACGTACTTTCCCCTTCAAATTTTAGGAGCCACATTGGCTGGAAAGCACAATTTGTAGGAGCCATCTACTATTTTTTAGGAGCCAAATTAAAGTTTTGCATACGGGCCATGGCTATGCTGCGAACGGTGCGTACAGAGAGAACGCTCCATCGCTACCGCTGCTTCCCGATTGCAAGTTTAATCTGACAAATTTTTTAGGCGCCACGATGGCCCAGCCCCCCGAATTTTTAGGCGCTGAGGCCCGATTTTTTTGCGCATTTGGCGCATGGCGCCCGAGAAGGTAGAACACTGCTCCGACGCTTCTCGGGACTTAAAGTACGTCAGTACATACTTTCTGGACCTCCGTTCACCACTACCTACCACACGTGCGAGCACCTTTCTCAACTATTTATTTAAATGAATTTTTCGCAAATTTTCTTGGTCAATTTTGTTACTATTCTTTATTTCCTATCTGTCAAAGCGACAAGTCTTCGGCGCTCTCAGGGGCGTATCTGCCAACGGCAGATTGGCCTTAAGTATGGCCAGTCCGAGTCTGGAAGAATTATACCATGAAAACATTCTTTTCTTAAGATAACATCACTGGTGTAAAATTTAGTATGTACTCACATGTTGCGTTTTAACAAGAATTTGCTGCTAATTTCACACCACAAAATCACCTCGACTAGGTACTTATCATAAGCAGCACCATAAATGGAGAAATTAACAGGGAAGCATTTATCACTAAGGAAGGGGAATTTTGAAAATTATCAAAAGTTTAAACCCTTTGCGCTCAAAAAGAATAAGTCATAACGATTCTATATGGGTTAGGGTAATCTAAAAGGTGAATTTCTTAATTTTTTGATTAGTTATGCTCTTTTCCGGAGCATTTGAAAGGAATAAACTCTCAGCATACTTCATCACAAGTGAAAAAAAAAAGTTTCTCCAGAAGTTTTACATGCTGAAACAGTAAATAATGACACTTCCTAACCCTAAAATATCTTTCTTTCTTTTATTTTTTTTATTTTTTTTTTTTGCCATGAATAAAAAGAACTCAATTACTGCAGGTTAGGTATACTTAGTCATGGCTGAGTAATCATATGTTTCTGAGGAGTTTGCTTGAATTTCTGTTGACAGTGCAGTTCAGATGACAACATTGACAACCTTGAATAAAAGGAAAATACCTATTGTTACATATGTGAGTAAGATAGATATATATGTATTCCACTCAAAACTATTCAATCCTGAGTCAACTTTTTTATTAATTTTTATTAATTCTTTTTTTTNTGGGGGGGGGGGGGGGGAGGGAAGGGGACATCTTTGCTATCTTATGAGCACAAGGTTGATACACAGAGTCATAAATGAATGATTAGAAAACAAAAACTGCTTGTCTTTATTCAAGACATTGCAGATTTTTAGCACATTTTGCGTCTTCGAATGATGACTGGTCATCTTTCTTAAATAAAGTTTCAAGTCAATTTTTTTTCCTTTTCCAAAATTTTCAGAAAATATCCAAAATATGTCAAGGCTGTGTTTTTTTTCCAGAATATTACAGGAAAAAAAATATTGGTGTGGAGATTTTGTAGCACTGAGATTGTGGCGTAGTGTGCAAGAAGGATGCATTCCTCAGTCGCGGTATATTAGAATTCCTGCCGCTAATTTATGTACTAGAGGAGAAAATAATGGATGCATTTTTCCAAATTTTCTGTTGAGAATATTGTAAAACCTTAAAGAATATTTAATAAAAGTACCAACAAAATTTACACACTTGCTTTCTTGATAATGTAAACAAATGTTATAAAAAAAAAAAAATGTTAGCGGAGATCCTAGGAAACCACAACCAAGAAGTACCCTTCCTGTTTAAAGGACAAGATTCAAGTAAAATTCTAGCAGAAAGAAATTTAAAAACTGAAAAATTGGAGATAAAAGTCAACACAAAAATAAGTTGAAGACTTCGAAATAGCAGAAATAGTTAGGTCTTGTACGGTTTATTGTATTCTTCAAAAAAAACTTAACACAAGGTAAACAAAAGATAATAAAATTTATTAATTTTACACAGTAATTGGACCATGAAAGAATACTATCTGCTAAGAACTCCATTTTTTGATAGTACTTTTTCATATAGCGCTGTCCGACTAACCTTTCAAGGTACAAAATTAAAGGTAAGTTAAAATAAAGGCATTTTCAAAAGACTTAAAAACTACATTAATTTATTTGATTATACAAAAAAACTTGTTAATCAGATTAGACAATACCACATGAGATCTGGAAAGTTTTACTTACTAGTTCGGGTGAAACCGACATTCATTTTGCTAGGAATATGATTTGATGCACATTAAAAATCTTTCTACATACCAATACTTGATTTGATACATTTTCCTTATTCAGGACTAAGCACTTTAATGACCCACTTTCATACTTTTGATGTGCACTACGAGTACTAAAAGCTTTAAAAAATATGAAAAAACAATTGAATTCAGTGAATATATTTTAACTGCACAGATATAAGTTAGAAAATAAAGTTTTAAGATTACAGTATCTTGAATTTGCTGCTTGCTTTAAAGAGAGAAAGAGACAAGTTCAGTAAATGCGTGGAGCATGGGGTTCCTTTCAGTCAAATAGTAATAGTGGTGCTGCCTTGCAATTATGAGCGGAACCACCTTAACAGAGAGGAATAATTACATTATATCCAGAAATGGCATCATCAGACTAAAAGCATTTCTATGAAAGTTTTAAAATTATGGCAGCATTGCTGTCACAAAACAAGCACAAAATTTGAATGTTGGCAATTCCATTCCATATGCGCATTTGGAGAAACTATGTTACATAGTTTGATTTTCAAAATGCCATTGAACACTAATAACATTGACAAAAAAATTGCCAGCGAAGTATAAAGAGAAGAGTTTGTTATTGATCCCCCAAAACTTCCAAGAGATCGATACATCAAACATCTATCTCACTATGTTTGTCTTAGAAAATCCAGACATGCAAACCTTTTTGCAGCCAATACTCTTAGGTTATCTGAAAAGGCTTCAAAAACTATGAAACTAAGATGTCCTCAATTCTGTAATAGTCAAATATCAAAATAATTAGAGTGAACTCGATCTATTCACTGAGCTCACACTACATTATATTCTACTTTTCTCATATTTTATTTTAAAGTTTTCAATGTTTCATCAAAGAGATGGAGAAAAGTTAAAGAAATTATAACTCAAGCTTCTTTCTGTGGGATCGAATTTTTCTTTTTGTTACTCACATTCAAAGAGGTTACATAGAATGTGAAGTTACTCAAGTTTTCAATAGCCCTCATACAAAACACATTACATTTTATCACAAGGTTCTCAATAAAGTTTTTACTAATAGTAATTTAAAGTATCCTAATGTGTGTCTGAGTGTTGTTTTTTACAGTAGGTTGCGCTCTAGAAAGAAAAAAAAAGAAAAAAGAGGGGAGCAACAGGATTCTCAGAATGGTAGTAATTTGATTTGCCTCACAATACTGATTAACCAAACTGGTGTCTGTAGTAGATGTATTGTTATAGTTATTATTAATGTCTTCAATCAACATTAATTTGTGAGTTACAATGAAATTGCAACTTGCCAAGTCTGAGACTCTGTGTTGGACATCAAGTGTTTTTGCACAAGCCGATTCAATTACATGTTAAACTTGGGGAATGTTACAATTTTTAAAAGGATGTGTTCTTAAACACCCGTTTTGGGGTTTGACAAGATCACAAAACTTTTAAGAAATGTGGATAGAATTTTTAAGTGCCCTATGATACTAACTTACAATTTCTGATGGCACAGAGAGTAAAAAAAAAAGACCAGATAAACACAGATCAAATTTGGATAAAAAAACAAACCATTGAAAATTGCAAAAAGACTGAAGTCCCACCATAGAACACATTACGGACCTTGAGAGTTGATTAATTTTTGAAAACGACACACAATTTCCAAAAATGTTTCTTTCTTTTCACCCGGGACATTCATACCTTAGAGGCATATTCTACCACCCTTAAAAGTCCCCATTTGATACAAGCAGGTCAAGTTTCACTATTAAATCAATATTTCAATGATACATTCTTCAGATAACATTACTTTGGCAGGGAAAGCTCTGAATGCCTTATAATAAGGCTTCCTTATTGTTTACAATAAGGAAGCTGGGAATAGTGAATGAAAATTAGGAGCATCAATTCATATAATTAAAAGTCCTTAAACTCTTGGGCTAAGTATCACACAAAAAAAGAAGAAAGAACATAAAATGCTACAATGAATAGGTTTCAGATAAATACACTCTGAAAAAGCTCAACACCCTTCTGCTCACTTTCCGCGATTGCAGCGTCCATTAAATTTTGACCGTGTCTCAAGCGATCGAACACTGGTTTCTGGTTCGAAATTTCATGATCGTCGTTGTACCGACATGCACATCCTCCGTAGGTGTTTGCTTGTCATCCAAGCAGACACAAGTCTGCTTGGATGACAGGCAAACACCTACGAATGATGTACATGTCGGTACATCGACGATCATGAAATTCCGTTTGGTGTTCCAGAAACCATCTGTTGTCCTGATGAATGTTACCGGAAAATTTATAATGCAGAAACCAGTGTTTGATCGCTTGAGACACGGTCAAAATTTAATAGACGCTGCAATCGCAGAAAGTGAACGGAAAAACAGAATTTCATAAAATAGGATTAACATCAGTTTACTACCCCAACAATTGTGTGTACTTGTTTTTGCTGTCTTTCCAGGTTTGACAATTATCCATGTCTGTAATCAGGTCTGAATTGTAAGAATCAAGACAAAAATATCCAACCCAAAATTTGAACACCTAATTTTTTGCCGAATATGGTGCCATTTTTAAGCTAGGCATTATTAAAGACTAAATATTAGCAGACACACACCTTGGTTCCCACAGAAATTAAAGACTGAAATTCCCTGACATTTCCCAGATTTATTGTGTACATTTTGTTAGAATTCCCTGACATTTGGCGATATTTGGGATACTTAAAAATCGCTACACTTCTAAAAGCCCAAGCACTCAACACTTGTTGTTCAAAACGCCCAGCACACTCTGCCTAGAGGGCAAAAACTATTCAACAATTCTTTCCTGACACTTTCATTCTTTCCCCGGAAATTTTTGAGTTTTCACTGCCTTTGGAAAATTCTCTGACATTTCCTGGGTACTCCCAACTGTGGCAACCCTGACTTACAAAAGGTCCCCCAGTGATCTTATTCCTTAATTATGACTGACAAAATTTCAGTCATTCCATTAATTCCTGGTCATGATGGCCATCAAGGCAGTCAACGCTATAAAATATGCATTCTTTGGTTTGTCAAGGGGAGAGGTTGGCAGCAGGGCAGACTATTGTCTATAACAGCCCTTATGCTACTGAAGTTCTGGATTATTTAAAATAATTCTTTTGCAAACTCACCAATTAGTTCAAAGGTTAAAAATATAAGTGATGTGTACTAACTCCCTTCCCTGACAATCCTCCAACAATCAATTCAAGCCTCCACTGATTGAAAGAAGTAAATAACTTTTTTATGATTTTGAAAAACAGACATTTAAAGGTTCATAATAGAATTGAATTCTTTGGTTCATTGACAGCTAAAACTGATGTTGCAGAGGTGAAAACTTCATTTTTTACGTCAATTTCACGATAAAATTTATTTCAAGATAAGCTTTCTTCAAAACCATCAATAATTTGAGTATTTAAAGGAAATTATTCACTTCCTTCATTTACTGGAGGCTTTAATTATACAGTCCTTGGGATAGATTTTAAAAATGTAAATTTTCACAATATTAGGAATAATTCCAAGACTGAAAAGGATGCGACTAGGAGGTTCATTTTCTCAAAGACTTACAATTCAACAAATTCACAATGGAAAAAGCTTATGCCAATACTCAAATTTTGATTCTAACTTCAGATTAACTCAAAATACATGATGTCTCGAATGTATAGAATACACTATGATTATTTGAAACCAAAAAAAAAAGGAGAAAAAAAAAGGTGTGAGTTTCTTTGTTTAACAGTAATATCAGAAATAACCATGAACTATGATGGAATTGCTTTAACGTGTGCTGTTAAGAGCTTTAGACTATCTTATAGCAACAACAAAACAATGAATGGGTGTTTTCCCATCTGTCCCTATCTTTTTTTTACAAGTACAAATGCTATAGGAAACTGCAGAGAGGAGAAAATCAAGAACTTTAGAAGATTTCACAAAATAGACTGCAGAAAAAATTGTACATACGAGTGAATTATCTTGGTGAATACAAGTGGCTGGTCCAAAGACAAGAAAACTGGGAAGGGGTCTCGTATCGGATTTCTGTTGCTTCTCTTTTGATCAAAAAAAATGTATCTCCCTTTATTTTCAAGTTACAACATTTAGAAGCTAAAATATCTCAGAAACCCTAACATGAACTAAGAAGCAAATAAGGTAATTTATAAATCTCCAATTTTCCATTTTCACCTTCATTTCATAGAAATTGGACTAGATTTTTGAGGAATGGGAAGAAAATTTGAATAAGTTATCTTTAATACCTGATTGCCGAAAATTATTCAGAATTGTAACAGCTTTCAGCAGTAATCTGCAAATGTCTCCATTTGCTAAAATTTCTTGCCTTTCACAATCATTGGAATCAGTCTTTCACAAAATAATAAATAATCGTATGGCATTTACAATCACTTTACCATCAACTTGAATTAATTGGGGGGGGGGGAGGCAAGAATATCTTCAGGCCACATTACAACTGATATGACTGAAGAACAATATTGCTTTTGGACAGACAAGTAAACATTCCTGAGATAGCGACTGGAAGCTGTTTAATGTCATTTACTACAATGTTAGCTGATTTCTGTCAAAATGTGGAATAAAACAATGCCTTCAAATAGCAATTTAAGAACCATTATAAATAGAGAGAGAGAGAGAGAAAAAAACAAACATACTTAAACATGTTATTTAGATAGAAACAGCTATCACTTGCCAGTATTATGAATTTTCTTGAAATTTTGAAGTAACAATGATTTTTTTCTTTTTTTTTTTCTTAATTTTATTTTAGAGTCTGCAAGTGTGCTTCAAAACAGATTTCAGAGAAAACACATCGACTTGATCAATAAGTCATGTTCATGTCCTCTAACATTAAGCAACAAAAACATAGGACAGTAAAAATTAGCACGGTAATTGTTTGCAACCTTGACACTAAATTTGATTATTGTCACAACTTGAGCACTAAAATTAAGCTTTGACAAGATCACAATATTTAGGATATAGAGTGAGTTGTCAAGAATATGTAAACTTGAAACATTTTGGGTTTAAGAATTTTACTGATCGACGAAGAAAATACTTCAAAGTATTTAGGAATTCCAGTAATTATTAGATTAAAAAAAAATATGAGATAAATAAGTGTAGATGGAATGGAAGTATAGATTAGTGATTCAAAACTATTGTGAAACATTTTGAGCAGTCCATATCAGAAGCATTTTACTTGAGGTGCAACTTAATTTAAAAAAAGCAAAACATTACACTGAAAGCTGTATGACGATTGTATACCATTGACAGGCTTTAAATTTTGAAGGATACTAGGGAAAAAAGTACGGAAAAATGATTTTAAAATTTGAAACGACAAACAAATTGAGAATAAGTGATGAGAGGAGTTTTGCTACAGAATGGAGACTGAGAATTATTACAGTCAAACAACGATTTAACTTCAATGTATGACCGCTTACTACAGAGAAATAAAATCGTTTTCAGCATGATCACAGATTAATTGGATTGATAGAATGTAACACCCAAATTTGATTAAATTAAGTCAGGCTGTACCGACTGAGAGACAGCCAGTGGGTTAAAGACAATAAAATTAAATAAGAGCAGCCATTAAAATTTGACCGCTGGAAAGGAAGAAATAAATTAAAATATAAAAAGGAAAGAGGAGAAACAGTTCGCAATTTGAAACATTGAGAAAATTATAGAAAATTTGAGCACGTTCAAAAAAAACGAAATCATTCAAGAATATTTGTTGCAGGAATCAAATGAAGAAAGTTTCAGGAATCTGAAACAAAACAAAAAAAAAACACTATTTGATATACTTTACTACAAAAAGTGATCATACATTAAACTTAGAAGCGTAATTCGGTAGCGGTCAGTGAAATCGACATTCCCTACTGTTAAAGTCGATTGGATAGTTTATTTCTTTATAGGAAATCAATTCAGATCATGGCAAGGATAATCGTCTCTGAATTTTTTTGGACCTGTACTCTCCCTTTCCGGTAGGAGAGTACAACAAATAAGGCAGTTTCTAAGGCCACTAGCTTTACTTGCTGTTGCTGATTGGCTACACTCATCCTGAAGATTGCAGCATCAACTCAAGTGTCAACTTTAGATAGGCTGAATTTTAATTAGCTTTTTCTCTTCTTAGAGATGATTGGCTGAAATTTTTTATGGACTTTGCGGAATTTTTAAAAAATTTTACACAAGAAAGACTATACTGCAACCCTGCAAAAATTCTTTACCACAGTTCTATTTTCATTACATGGAATGCATTCTGCAAGAAATCTTAATGAGATGATAGGTCTTGTAGTACTTTGATTCTTATGTTTTCTTGTAGATCTTTAAGAGACGACAATCTAACAGAGTGAAAAAATAAACTTACCACAGTGAAGAGGGTATAATAACTCCTCTCCTTTATCATGTTGAGCCAAATTCGCTCATCCACTTTTCATATTTGTCTAGGTCTTCTTTCGAAACACTTTTGTTACATTTTGATATGGCTTCTATGAAATCTTGCATTGTGACAGGAAGATCTAATTCTTCTCTTGGAAGCTGCCGAATTTGATCTGGCTTCAAACCTGCTATTTTCCTTCGCATCGACATCATTGATGCATCCCTGAAACATTTTTCTTTGCATTAGTCTTTGCCAAAATCTTCAAATTGAAAAGAGACTTGTAGCAGGAGATCATTCTAATTTTTCATCAGCTAATGACGCAAACTAAAATATATTTTGTGGAAGATTCAGCAATTAAAATAATTTCCGAGGATAAACTCCAAATAATAAACCAGCAAATGAAAAAAGTGAGATGAGTTTGGAGTTGTTAAAAAACTTAACTTAGCGTTGATTATTCTATTATTCTGGCAGATAAGTACCAGAATACAAAATTTGAAATTAGTATTCATTTGCTGTAATAGACATGGCTGTTCTGAGGCAATAAAAAAAAAAGGCGCAATCAAAGGGTCTAAAGAGTGTGGTAACCACATTGTAATGATTTAACTGTAAACTGAAAAAAAAGCCTTCGACGATAAATTAGCAAAATCTTAAATAACACTGAGTGTTAATCTCTCATTTTTTTATCTATAAGATAAACATTTTTAAGAGAACCTAAAATATCCATGGAGGGAAGTATGAATATTTTACCACCAGGAAATTATCAACCCTCTTTAAAATATCTTCTAGGTATAAACAAATTGAAATGTACCTGCAAACATTTGTGATGTCAGCTCCTGAGTATCCTCTCAGACGAATCGCAATTTCTTTTAAGTTAACAGTATCCTCTAATTTCACTTCTCTAAGGTTGATCCTCAGCAAAGCCTCACGACCAGTGCCTGAAAATAGAATCAGATGTCTTTATAATACTCTTAATTTCATTTGAAACCTCCAAATCTATAGACAGAAGATTCGATTAAAGACAAAACAAGAAGGAGAAATAATAACTGACTGAACATCAACATACATATTGATCATTTTGCTATTACTGTTTTGGTCAAATATGCAAGATGAGTGATCAGATGACGTGCTTAATATGGAGGTGCACATTTTTATAAGGTTTATTCCGTATTTTTTAGATAAGTTTATACATAACCATGCTAACATTGCCAGTTGGAGTAATAAAGGTCTGGAGAAGCAATGTCTTGAAGCTTAACAACAATAAATCTAATTATTAGCTTCCTTCTTTTTGACAACTGTGACTTCGCTTCTAACTCTTATCCTTGACAAAAATGTCTCAGGACTCTAACTTCCATGGATTCTTCAAAGTTTCTAATACCTCACCAACAGAAAAAAGGGAAACCCTAACTGACTTGAGCAGGAGCCAGTCCTGTGAAATGCAGCGGCAGTTATCAAAAATAAAATACTTCACTTGATAATATTCTTTGTGCATGTGCTGCATTGTGATGTTAACCCTGTATTTATACAATGAGAGGATTTTGAAGAATATGCTTTGAAACACTTACTATTTGGTAACGGGATATAAATCCTCTTTTCTAACCGCCGTCTTAATGCTTCATCGATATCCCACGGGAAATTGGTTGCAGCTAACACCATGACCACTTTCCCTGGATCCTCTGAGGAACTTAGCCCATCCATCTGCACCAGCAATTCGGATTTGACACGCCTACTTGCTTCATGCTCAGACTCAGAACCTCTTCTCGAACACAATGAGTCTATTTCATCTATAAATATGGTGGAAGGTGCATAAAATCGTGCCTGAAACAGAAAAAAATAGCATTTAGAGGGAATTCAAAATATGTTCAGAGTTTTAAACAATTGAAATGAGGTTAGCTTTTCAGAAAAATAAAACCTGATTAACAAGTGAAAAGAGGGCGATTCACATAGGTGAAAAATGTCAGGTCCATCCACAGTCAAGTGCTCTTTTATGTTAATTTCTGTATACGCTGCAATGCTGATTAATTTATGGTTCCTAATATCTAAATGATCCAGTGATAAAAACAAAAGGGAAGGAGTTAAAAGCCCTTAAAATACTAATCGTTTTTAGGAGAAAGTTTTAAGGTAAAAACAAAACAAAAAAAGTCACATTTTGAGCCAATGAAATTGGATTTACAGTAAAACCTCGATTTACCGGATTTCACGGGACCGGAGGCCGAATCCGTTAAATTGCGGAATCCGCTAAATCGCGATTAGATAGTTTGAGGTCTTACTGTATTTCGTTTGAGCCTAAGATATCTGACACACCAAAAGAGAAAGAAAAAAACTTACCATTTCAAAAAGAAGCCTGACAAGTTTTTCTGACTCTCCGCGGTACTTGGATGTTAGCGTGGATGAAGAAACATTGAAAAATGTTGTACCGCACTCAGTAGCCACAGCCTTTGCTAACATAGTTTTACCAGTTCCTGGTGGTCCGACCATGAGAACTCCCTTCCAAGGTCGCCTGATGCCTTTAAAGAAATCTGGCATCCACATAGGAAGGACCACAGCCTCTTCTAGTAGTCTCTTGGCTTCATTCAAATCTGCTATGTCGTCCCAACGAATGTTCGGGTTCTGTTGCACTATATCACGCTCTGCAACAAAATATGAACAGGCTATAAGAAAACTGTTGCACTTGAATGTTGGCTATTCCTATAGTTTTTAAAACTGCTAGAGCTTACAATCCCTTAGAAAAAGAATGTGAACACATCAAGCTGGAAAATTTAGGAATGAATTACATCTACTTCCATGTATTCTGATATTCTGAGTAAAGCCTTCGAAATTTTTCCATGCTATAAACTTTGACAAAGATTTAAGGAAATTCACTGGATTTTGAATCGAGACTGAGGCTTCTTTTAATTTGCCTGCTTTTTCAAACGTCTTGTGTGTTCCTGTTTTTTCAATATCCCAGCAAGGTATTATGAAGCTATCTCCATTTTATCAAATGATGGCTGATTAAGCCATAAATTTATCTCTTGATATGGTTCACCGCTTTCAACTTTCTTTTAGATCCAGTTAAAATAAAAATATTATGCAGGCTTCTGGGGCGATCTTTTACCATAAGAGTTGCTGTTGAACATTAACATGCAAATGGCTAGGAGCGATAAATAAAATTGGTGAGGGCCTGAAAAAATTCTGTATTTTACCTTAAAAAATATTTAATAACTTACCTAACATTTCCACTAGATCATTATCATACCCTGATGGGTCAAACCGCCTTTCTTCAGTGCAATCTTTCTCTTTGTCAGATTTTTCCTGAACAAATGAAGCGAGAAAAATTAGTACCTACTGACATGGAGTTGTAAGAATCATAAAAAGAATACAAAATTAAACAGTGCTGCTGTGGCATGCTAAAAAGTAATGTGATATACAGCTCACACTGAAGCATATTGCAGTTCTATTGAAACCTGCTTGTCTACTACTTGTTTGTTAGGAATTTTCAGCCATTAAGAAAAATGGTGAAATTCGAACGCTTCAAACCACTGGTTTCGCTGATCATCATAACTACTGTACTAAAATTTGTTCCTTCGAGGGTCAGCAGACAGCATTTCTATTGCATGGTAGCGCAATGAAAATGGGTCATTTTAAACACCTATCAGGCCATTCAAAACACCTATCGGGCCATTCAAAACACCTATCACTTTGACCATTTTGGTACATCAAGTCAGATAAAAAACCGTCACTTCGACTGGCTTGGCAGTAGATTTCTCAGAAACTAAGAAGTGGAAGGCAGAATTCACTATTGGTAACTTGGAATATGTAATTGAACAAGGTCTAACACCTTTCACCTAGCTTTTTGCAGTTCGTGTAATTTGGCTGGCAGTGGCCAGTCTGTAAAACAAAATAGTTTTAGGAATACTGCCGTGTTAAGGAAGAACGCTGTAGGAACATTCAAATATTTCCAAATTTACACTCAGAAAAAGCCTATTTTTGCAGAAAGTTTGCACCAAGTTTTCCCTTTAAAATATTTGTACAATTACGAACAAAATTCTCTGAAATATTGGAAGAGAAATGCTTACAAACTTTTCTGAAAATTCGTGATTTGTCAAAGGAAATTTGGCAACATCTGATGGCTCATGCAGTGTTCTTCCTCAACACAGCCTCAGAATCAGTAATGGATGAAGAAAGGACGAAAATGAGAAAAAGAGCATAAAATGAGGCTCATTACTAAGATTGAAATCAAATTGCAGTTTCTGACGCTTTGATTGGAAACAGGAACTTAGAAAAAAAGAGGCAAAAAAATAAATCATGTTCCTAACGTAGTTGTGCTTGAAAATGCTAAAAAAGTAAAATCATACCTGAGAATCTGAGTTATTAGATTTGTGATCTTTATCTTTATCCTGAAATAAACAAGAGAGAAAAAAATCAATGAGGTATTAAAAACTCCACTAACAATGTTTGTAAACTTTAGTTATTGATGTAATGATACAGGAGATGAAAACTTTCACAAGACCGGTGAGATACTTATCTAATGTATATTATGTATTATAATACATGTTGGAATAAATAATACAATATGTAAAATAATCTTAATGATGATGAATTTTAAATCTGGGGAAACAGGGCTGAAAACAACAAAACGAAAAACGAGGCGTTCCGCCAGAAATTTCTGGCATCTTCAATCAAATCAAGGTTACAATATTAGTGCATCCATCACTGGATTGGAGCACAAAGAACTCAGAGCACATTCAATTCAAATTCATTTCTAATGTAAAACATAAATATGAGGTGCCCCTGTACCTTGAGGCACACCTGTACTTATACATTCAAATTGATTTAAATTGGTGGCGCTTCAATTAAATAATTACTGCTCACTTGGTTCACTCAATATTATTGAATGATGCAATGCAATTCATTGGTTGAAAGTAATGTCAAATAATAAACTTAATGGGCTAGTTGCGCTGGTAACAGAATCATGTTTTGATGCTTGATTCTTGCAGATTTGCTAAAAATGAGAGGACTGCCTAAACAGCAACTTTCTACGTTGAATATTAACCGAGATATCATCCTTTGAAAAGTCGAGTTTTTGACGTCATCCATCGCAGTAGTGCATAAAATGGTATGTATTACTGGTGAATGACGTCATAATCAAGTTTTTAAGGCCTGATATCACAATTAATATTCAACGCAGAAAGTTGCTGTTTGGACAGATCTTATTATTCTTAGCTAATCTACAAGAATCAAGCATCAAAACACGATTTTGTGACAAGCCCAACTGACCCATTCAAGGTGTGCAAGAAAGTCTCATGATGCTCCTCCCTTATCAAAAACTTATGCTTCTCAAGTTTCAGTATTTGGAAGCTATGATCAGAGTGACAGGCAGAGCCCTATTCCCTGTATGCTTTTCTTCACACCATGTTCCGTCCAGTATTCATGCTGGCATTTTGTATTTTATTTTAAGATGCAAGCTGTGATTTAATCATAATTCAACAATGGGCCTGTTGCATGCAAGAGATACAGCCGTGCGAACAGACTTTCCAGAGGTTAAATGACACGAAAATTACGATGGTCACATTAAAAAAGTCTGAAATACACTCCTTACTGCGCAATTTGCGTTGTTAGGTACGCGCTTTTTCAAATTTCCCGCGTCTGGGGGCAGTTTTCTAACGGAAACAATTGACGGCAACTCGCGGCTATTTCCGGTCAACTAAAACTGACAACATAACCTAAAAATCGGAGCTCGTGATACTTATCGTGAAATGAAATGTAGGAGGATTGCGTTGGATATTTAAAAGTTGATCGATTTGGTTAGCGCATAAAGCGTATATGGACCACTAGATCACGTTGGGTTTGTAAACAAACTGAAGGAAAAAATAACAGCAACAACAACGACTCGGCATCTTCCGGAAATCACCGAGCCCGCCGTTTGCTCGTTTCCGGTGATTAGAAAACTGCCCCCAGACGCGGGAAATTTGAAAAAGCGCGTTCCTAACAACGCAAATTGCGCAGTAAGGAGTGTATTTCAGACTTTTTTACTGTGACCACCGTAATTTTCGTGTCATTTAACCTTTAAAAAGTCTATTCGCGCGGCTGTATCTCTTGCATACAACAGGCCCATTCGATACTCACAGAACTTTGAGAACTATTGTGGGAATTATAGGAATTCCTAACGGAGCCATTCTTCCTATCATCAGTCTTCTTAGTATTAGATCGAGGTTCATTCTTCTTCGTCGCAGAAGTATTGTTTTTCTGACTAAACCGGTTGGTGGTGGTCGTTTTAGTATTATTAGTTTTAGAACTTTTTGCTCTGGTATTACTATTGGTACTGTGATTACTGTTTATCCTGAAAAAAAAACAAACCATGTACACGCATTAAACAAACTGATTAATTTATCAAATTGTTAATCTGCATCCCAGGGCAATCTTACCGCAGATTTAGGATTTCTAATGTGACTTGGGAATTTCGAGTTGTAGCCACATGGTTATGATTTTGTGTTGAAGGATTCTTACTCCTGAAAAGTCGTAAAAGTTAGAGACTTTTTGAAACATAAACATGCTGCATTGGGTCTACAGTGTAAACAGAACAAGAGAATAAGGGGAGTTAGCAAATTGACAGCGTAAGTCCGCAATCACATATCTTGTTTGCGGTGTCTGAAAGTATCCGCCTCTGCATAAAAAAATACATTTTTTTTAAGGAGAACAAATTAACATCATTCCTTGAAGTTGATTCAGAATTTTCTTTGCACAGAGAAGAAAAATCACGGCAGTTTTACAGAAATGCCGTTGAGTAGTTTTCCGTTTAAAAAATAGAGTATGACAGGAAGTCTGCGACGTCGCAAACCGAGTTATGGGATTGCCGACTTTCACCGTCGAAATTTCCCTCAAAATGATAAAAGGGTTCAATGCTCTAGGTTTACAGGCCTGACTTTAGTCGATCAAGCTGAGGCCTTGAAGCCTGCGGTCTGTTGATGCTTTTAATGCTTCAGGCTCACAATTACAAGAAGACAGAGAGGATAAGCACTCAAGTACCTGTGATCGACATGCGTTGGAGCAGGCCACACATCAGGATCCCGATCAGGAGGAGGCCAGACGTCAGGGTCCCTATTGTAGGCAGGCCATGGATCGATTGGTTTGGGGGAACCCAGCCATGATACATCATCAAAGCCACCTGTTCCGAAAAATTTGTGATTTGAATCTGGAAAATAAGCGCAGAATTTTAGAGAAAAAATAAAAATGTCAAATAATGATGAAAGCGAAGAGATTACAATGAATCAAATTGAGCAATATATCAAGTTTAATTAGGATAAATTTTAGATTTATACCAAAATATCTACAATTTAAGATTGATTAAATTTTGAGCATTGAACTCACCAGTTTATAAGTATTAGCCAATATATATTACAATAATTGGGCGTATTTATGCTAAAAGGAACTATGTGCATAGGGTTTGCATGAGACATAATTCCTTTTGGCATAAATACATTCAATTAAGAGTCAACAACAAGGATTGGAAACATTCAACTATCACTAAATTGTACCGGGGCAATTTTTAAGTATATATTTATTAATGGGTGTCCAATTGTCCATAACTAGGGCAGGACAATGCTGCAACTTTCTTCATGGAGGACAGGACTTACGAATAATTGACTTTTCTCATCTTAAGCTAAATTCACATAGGTTAAAAAAACCCCTAAGCCAATGATATCATTGAATTTTTGACCAACTATTGGATTAAATTTTTCCATTTTACTTACATTATATCGCCTGTTAGGCTAATATAAGCCAGCACAAATATTATTCTGGGGGATACAATCTATTGTGTCTTAAAAAAATACTCACTTATTGGCCTATCTGTAGGGTCTGAGCGAATCTGCTTTAGGACACTGCTAGTTGCTTTTAGCTGTTCGTACTCTGTTGCTAGCTGATGTTGTAACTGAAACAGAAAAATACGCAGGTGTTCAGAGGAGAGAGATTCGGTGTTTGAGTTTTCCACAGAAAACGTCGCTGGTATCCCAAAGAATAGGTTTCTACATTGCTTCACCTCAAAACTATGCTTGAAATGTATCATACTGGGACAAAACACCGGCATGAGAATTATAATTGCAGGGGCTCCACTTACTTCTTACTTTAGACGTTGGGAAAAACCCATTTTTTTAAAGGATTTTTAAGGAGTCATTTATTTTAAAGAAATTGAGATCAGGTAAGTATGGGTTCAATCCCCCCCCCCCTTTTTCCTTAAGCCTCCACAAAATGGGTTTCGTCTTTTTTGAAGATCAATATTAATTAAAGCGCTTAAAATTACCTTGGATTAGTTTTGTATCTGTATTAATTTTTTTCTCTGATGATATTTCTATTTTCTTTTGGTGTAAATTTTTAATTCTGTAATAACGTTATTGGATGGCAAATAAACAAAACAAAACAAACAAACAAAAACCTTGGGTCGGCAATTTTTACATGATTTTATCCATAAACATTGCTTTTTGTTATAAGAAAATATTAAGTTTTTCAAACTATCAAGGACTGTAGTTGACAGACGAGAATGAATGATTTTGGGAAAGATAATATACATCAAAGGAAAGCCTTTCTGCCCCATCGAATCAACACCTATGATATATTCATGGAATCCTGAATCATCCTATATTATGAAGGTAAGGTTACTTCCTAATCACGTAATACCACTCGAGATGACAAAAAAGAGACGTCTCGAGTTTCTTCTGATAAAAGGATTGCTCATACTAATCCGCATTGATTACATGGCACGAGTGCTATTGAATTGCACTCATATTCGTTCAAGGTAATTTTTGAGAGGACACTTCAATCTGTGGATGTTAAAACCTACCAAGTCCAAAAAATTGCAAAATGAGTTCGTTGGAGAAAACTTTTCTTTGAGAGTACCAAGACAGTCTGTAAGTATGATGATTAAGCAGGAATGGATCACTAGACAGGGTGCAAATTTCAGCATTTTGATACATGTTTCTCAACCAAAATTTCACGTGAAACACGATGCGCACAACGAAAATTACCGAAATCACATCCTTACGAAGATATTCAATAATTCTTGATGCGTGAATTCAAACCACCCGTTCATGAAAACTCAATGCTCTACGTGATTCACATCGCGCGCTAAACGTTTATCATGACAGTCTCTGAGATATAAAAATCTGGCAACCTCAATCTTGATGCTTTGGCTCAGCTGTAGCAAATTGCTTATAGTTTGAACAAAACATGGTGGGAAATGAACATTGCTCGATTGAGAAGATTGCTGAAACCTTTGTAGTGCGTGATTTGACTCACGTAGAGCTTTGAGTTCCTTGTGAGCGGGCAGTTCAAATTTCTCGTAACCAATATAAAATAAAAACGTTGATATCTTCATTAGGAGTTGATTTCAATAATTTTCGTTGCGCAAATCGTGTTTTACGTGAAATTTTGGTCAAGAGACATGTATCAGAATGCTTTAATTCGTACCTTGATTAGTGTTCCATTCTAGAAATAAGATGCGTTTTTTTAAAATGAAAATATTTTCCAGGTTTTTCTATCCTAAAATACCTGGGTTCACGTCTAAAACTACCTAAAGTCACCGATGAATCCAATGAAAGTAGGTAGGTAGGAATTTTGCGATTGATTATTACTCATTTCACTCTGGGAGACACTACTGAATGGCTTTTATTAGAACAAATATCACTTTTTTGGGTCATTCCATGCAAGAAAACCTAACAAGTTAAAAATTAAAGTTGCCAATAATGTGTTCTCGGGAAACTAGGCAAGATCATCAGAACAAGCCCGTGATCTCGGCCCCATTTGATGAAAAGAAGCCGATAGTGAATTTACAGACACAAAAACCACCTTCTCAGGTCGTTTCTCGCAAAGTCCTAAAGCGTCCAAAGTTGGCTGATAAATTTAAATACACCGTAAATTAAGGAGGATTGCTAACAAAGGTACATGACCTACTCTCCATACACTTGAGAGAACATTTTTAACCATCATAAAACATCCAAACGATTTCTAGGAGTCTTTCGGACGATTAGTGGAAATTTGACAAAAAACGGAGGCTTCTTTCAATAAAATTTTCCGATTAGAAGCTCCTTGAACCTGCTTCTTCAAAGCTACATTTTCAGAAACTTACTGCTTAGAGAACTTACTGCTCTCCTTGCTATCACGGCAGCTTTATCGGGAACTTTGTTCATAAAGTGGATTTTTCCCCCTCAATCTACTCCTGGTAAATTTTGCTTTCTAGACAAGCTTCAACATTGATTGATCGACTTACCAATTGCCACTTGTTTTTCCACGTGGGGTCATGGATGGAGGTGAGGAGCCGATGGAGCATTTGTATGACGCCCTGGTAGTAAACGCCGGCCGTGTCGTAGTTGCCCATCAACGCCATCTCGCGGGCCAACGCTGTGTTTTCGCTGATCTCGTTCAGCGAACTGGCCATCATCGTCAACTCCGCTGTAACACAAGAGAATGAATCAATTAGTGAAACTGAATATAACTACCCACTGTATTGACTACATGAATTCGTAAAAGCTCCGGTAACATTTATCGGACAGGGGACAGTTCTCCTCCCAAGGACGTTATTTCGATCAAACGCGTGGAGGAGGAGGGGGGCGAAACTTCGGAGATTTTTCAGAAAATCTTTCGAGTAAGTTCATCAAAACTACCCCAAAAAGAAGATCGATATACCTACAGTAAAACCTCTCGAAGTCGCTGGAGTGAAATCCACTCCGGATTAAAATCCGATGTTCCAAACGGTGTTCCTGACGCAACGTTCACATGGACGATAAACCTGCCTTTTTCGGGAATTTCCCTAATTTTACGCTTGTTTGCAAAAATTCCGAGTAGGCAGTTTCAATTTGTTGCCCTTTACTGAAACGAAGGGGGGCGGAAATTTAAAAGCACTATCGATACGTATTTTCCTCACCGCAATTGGGAACTGTCAGAACGGAATTTATGTTTTGTGATGATGAACCAGATTTTTCTCAGTGTGAGATAGGATTTTTTCTTATTTTATTCATTTATTTGTCACAAAGATACAACATCAAGTTGAGGATTCTCTACCCTCAAAAAGAAATACAAAATTGAACACCAGTTAAAGCTGACAAACCTAGGTGTCTAGTTTTCTTTCATTTTGGAAAATTTTGATGAAATCCAGAGGTTTCCTGATTTTTGACTGCTAAATCCTGATTTCAAAATGTGTCCAAATCCTGATTTCTTGCGGAGAAAAATTAACGGACGGATAATGGATAATTCGGAAAATAGGCGGAATACCGACTTTTCTCAAATCCTGATTTTACGACCGATTTTTTCTCAAATCCTGATAAAATCGGGATTAAATCCTGTTTGACCTCAAATCGTAATCGGGAAAATCGGGAAAATCCTGATGCTAGACACCTTGCAAACGAACAGGTAATGATGGTTTACGACATTTTTTGACTAAAGTGACCGCCGGAATCCGCCTAAACAGGTATACCTCGGCAACTTGAACAGGTATGCCTCAGCATACTCAGCAGTAGAGATAGGGTTTATAAAGAGTCGAGCATCTACACTGATAGACACGCAAAAGAAATCGATTCATCTCTCATAAGTTGTTTCAAGAAAAATGGGTAGAAACGCGCGAAAATGTCTAGAAAACAGAATGAGAAACAACTTAATCAGCCAAAAAACACGTAATAAAAGAACAACTTAATTTGGGGAAAAGGCTGCAAATAAAGAAAAAGGAATAAACAAAACCCGGGACGTTTCAAAATAATAACAATTTCATTATCAACCGGAAAAAGTGTCTAGAAAACATGTGATCGGATGCTCAACTTGTAACCTTGAGCGGTGATCCATTGACGATCCCACTTTCGAAAAGAGGCAAGAGCGATTACACATGTTTAGTAAAGTGTGGAGAGCACGGCAAATATTAAAATTTCTACGCCCGAGTGTACGTCAAACGTCCACTTTCCCTTCCAATTAAAAGTGTGACGGGCGAGCAGATAAACCATTAGAGAAATACGCGCTGCGGATAACTCCTGCAACTGTACGCAGAGGATCGTAAATTGCATAAAAATAATTTTGCCGACGATCACGGAAACGGTTCGCATTCGGATGGTTGCATCATTTTGCAAAGCGCCAACGGATTCGAATTAAAAATACATCTTGGCCGCTCACCAATCGCGGACACTGTAAGCGACTCCCACTTCGCAAAAATATGGATTAATGCACCGCATATTGCGGTCAAAACACGGTGCATAAGTAGATCAGTGGAGAGATCAATAATCCTTGCTCCTCACTCGCTCAGAGAAGATATAATCTTACGCGGTGCTCCGATGGCACCAGCAACCCAAAATCCACGGCTCAACACTGCCGTGCTAAGGAAGAACGCCGTATGAACATTCGAGAGTTGCCAAATTTCCTTCGATAAAATGTTCCTTTTCGAGGCACTTTATGAACATTTTTCCTTGAAATTTTCAAGAACTTAAGGTGAAATTGCGAACAAAATTATCTGAAAAATTGGAAGACAAATATTCATATTTTTACCAGGAAATTCGTGTTTCATCAAAGGATATTTGGCAACGCCTGAAGGTTCATACGGCGTTTTTCCTTAGCACGGCAAGGTACTAAGGAAGAACGCCATATGAGCCCTCAGACGTTGCCGTATTTCCTTCGATAAAGACTGAACTTACTGTAAAAATTGTAAATAGTTTCCCCCAAAATTTTTATTCCATTTCGTACGCAATTTAATTTAATCTAAAATATCTGGAAATTTCAAGGAAAAATATGCACAAATTTCGTCAAAAATACATGTTTATCAAGGAAAATTTGGCGACTCTCGAATAAGAATCATAGGTACGGCGTTCTTTCTTATCATGGTTCAACACGTCGCGTCGTTTTCAAGACAGAAAGAACGTAACACATATTCATTGTAGTATTACAAAGTGACAGTAGAGCGTGTTTGGCTGTAAATTGCACAGATTTTCCTTTTCGACTATACGTGCGAAAATCGACGACATTTTGGATACGTTTGGCAAAGTCATATTCGCACAAAATGGAATACTTGAGGTCAGTTTTGATACCTCAGAGTGGAGGAAAGACGACCTCCTGAACCCTTGGATGCCTCAGTGAGGCACTGGACAACGCGCGAATTAAAACATTCCGTTGAACATTTATTCTACAAAATGTTACAAAGCAACCGATAAAAAAAGGTTACCTTCGGAAATCGAATCCTGGAGCAATTTTGGTGAGCTCAATTAAATTTCGCGCATTTCGGAAGATTCTCTAACACCCCCCCCCCCCCGCCTCCGGCGAATTTCGTAGCCTCTACGCTTGTCCTATCCTCAAAATTTGGCTAAAATTATACGTATGTACTGCCGGAGTCATATCTAAGGATGCATCGAGCCGAAATCTTCATATAATTTCTAGCTGGGCGAAAAGGGGCCGAATTTTGTCGGTCCTTCCACCGTACTTAAATATACTTAGGACGGGTCTCGACTGCACTTAAGTCCGGCTTAGCGCCTCTGGTTGGCCGGTGTTGCGGTTTGGGCTAATGGACTCATCGATGGATGTTGCACTCCGTGTGAAGGAGCCGACAAAATTCGGCCCCAGGCATCTGAACCGGAGAAGCTTACTCGGCACTGGAAAAAAATACTCTTGGATCCTGAGTCCAGACTTTCGAAAAAATTGACAAGAAAAAATAATCTTGATTTGATTTGATTTTTGCAATTGAATCATACGGAAATCCGCTTAAATTAAGTGCGAGGAATTGAATTTAAAAATTAACATTTAAATGCAGTGAAATGCAATTCAAGCAAAAATCCAATTGAATCAAGGGTATTTTTTCTTGTCTTTTTTCAGTGTTTGGACTTCAGATCCGAGCGATTTTTTTTTGCCAGAGTGCAATAATTTTTGTTTTAGGTTCCAGGGATGTTTGGAATTCATTTTGGAACAGAAAACTACTATTTCTGGCTCATTTCAGAAATGACACATGAACCGTTTTCCCCCCCTTACACAGATAGTTGCTTTTGCGGATAGGCGAGAAATAGAATAGTTTCAGGCTGAAAATAGTAGAGTCCATTTACAGTTGGGAAGCAGTCCTCTAAGTGCGCAAAGCGCCTGTGGGCAGTGCGGCCGCATAAAAGCCATCCNGGGGGGGGGGGGGGGGCGCTGATATTCAGATAACAATTCGGTTCAATTCACGCTGCGATACTACTAGGAATCGAAGATTGGCCAGACTTTTCCCGTTCATCCGGTTTAAAGTACAATGCTCCTCAATTTGAAACTTTGCTCGATACTTTTGATCTGGTCGCTGCGTGTTGCACGGCACCCAGGACGTTACAGACGAACAATCAATTGAATGTGGGCCACAATTCAATTTTTTATTGCCCCTCGTGCGGCACTGCATTCATGAAAGTTGGCAACACTGTTTTTCCTCCATTTGAATGTGTATAAAAAATCGATTCTTGGTATGAGGCAGCTTCCCTTACCTAAAATCGATATTTTTAATGTGTTTAAACGGAGGAAGAACAGTGTTGCCAACTTTCAAGAATCACCACTGACTGCATTGCGAGTGCTAGCGATTACCCTTCATGGACGAATGGATTTACCTTTTTTTCTTCTTTTTTTCAATCGATTTTTTACTTTCTCGCTCCCCTAGGGTAGAGGAAGTGGTGTCATCCTGCAAGGAGGGAAAAAAGTTGAAATTCCATCATTTCTAGTTTTTTTAAGTTGACACCAAAAATAGGATTTTGAGATTCCATTAGAAGTCTTTTGTGTGTCCTAAAAAATTTCACTGATTTTTCTTTCGATTGTAAGCGAAAATTAACAAAATTTTGAACTGAAATTGCACAGTTATAATCCTGTAAAAAATGAATTGTTTGAGTCAATTATTTTAAAACGTAGGAATGAGTTATGTTCCTTTGTCTACGCATGGACGAATTGGACTACATTTCGTAATACGGAGCTACAACTTCTGACTCATTTCAGAAATAACATATGTGCCATTAGTTTCTTTATGCTGATAGGTGTTTTTATGTATTAGCTATGAATTTTAGTTCCTTATTGCAGAGGAAGTTCAACTATCGGTGCCGTGATTTTTTTCGAGTTGAGTTGAAAAGTAGAATTTTGAGATTTCGACAGAAGTCTCTTTAGTGTCCTAAAAAATAAGTAAGGAGCTGTTTAGTCAACTTTTAAGCTGATAAAAGGCTTAAAATTGTAAAAATTCAACGATTTTGTGCCCAGAACAAAGCGAATAGGATGCTTGAGTAGTGCCTTCTCGCAACTCCGTTTATTGTACAGCACACTTTGAACTGTCATTAACTTTGTACATTATTTTGCGGTGTTTCTCTTGTTGTATATTGGCATTTCATCAAACGCCATATGTTCCCGGGCCTTGGAGCTTTCCAACACTGCACCGCGTAGAGAAAAAAACGAGTGATTACTGGAGGTGGGCACTACATGTGGAAGTAGGT